TAAATCATGGTGAATATGTGTGTTAAAGGTTGAATGATGTAGTTAGGCTCTCTGACGCTACACTTCAGAGTTAGCCACTTTCAGAATAGTACCTCAGGGTTTAGAGTTGAAATTAGGGTGTGTTAAGAGGTCTTGGTTATGTTGAATTTTTAACACGTTAGTGTTTTGATTGTAGGAGGAAGTGTTGGAACACGTAGACAGAAACACATTCGTGTTTGGTGTTCTTTTACAACACATGTCAGAGAGCACGGGGAGAGATAATTAAAATAGTCATGAATGAAATAAGAATGTTAAGTGAAATATAATTATACATGTTACTTGCCATTTCATTGTGTAACATTTCATTAAACTAGTTTTCCTTCCAGATCTCTGGAAGGAACCAGAATTGAATAAAAGCTCCTGTTTAGATGCAGTACAGATGAAAAAAAATTGTGTATCCTGGGAGCTGCTATTGTAAAAACAAATTTCTTTCTTTTAAATTTCTAGTTTCTAGCGAAAAATATTTGTAAAAGATTGGCCTCGCGTTAGATTCTAGAGCTAAAAGTTTTCAACAAGGTCGTTTTAGACCTCAGTTTCAAACTAATTAACTCTGGCGGGAAGTATGTAAGGATCTTAAGTTTTACTAACGTTTATTTTATTTTAAATCTTTACTATCACTTCTTATTTTCTACTTCCGGCCAGAATTATAAGCGTTGAAGGTATTTATGCAAAGTTTGTCTGGCGAACGCCAAGTATTTAAGTTGTGGCTTTTTGCCAAGCGAGAGAGAGGAAGCAGTTGAGTCGAAGCAGGCCGCTTACCTTAGAAGTTTTACGCAGTTGCTGGTTGCCTTCCAGGCCAGAGGTTTTAATCCTCTTGATAAATTTTAAACGTATTGTAGTGTTCACAGTTCTCTGTACTACATACGGCTTCCTGTTAATATAAGGCCAATCTTCCACGTTTATTATTCTAAAGTTAAATTAGAGTTTAGTTTTATTTTTATACTTTTACGTTTTGACCCCAAGTAGCGGGTCGGTGTATTCCGAAGTACGGAAGTCATTGTAAATAGAGAAAAATAAAGGGTTTTGTATACCCTTCTTGTGTATCCTGTTTACTTCCCACAGTTTTGAACATAGCTTTAGTAAGCTCTCTGTTCCGAGTCAGGTCCTTGCATGTTCCCGAAGAAGGTTAGAAGGAATATTGAACCTGATAACTATTGCAGTTTTAGGTCATTTACTTTAATTTCTAATTTTAAGGCATAGAACAATGTGAAAATGTTAAATAAGTAACAGACGAAATGACAGCGTCACGTGCAAAGCAAGGAAAATGAACGGTTCTATTATAAAAAGAATGCGTCGAAACGTTTTCCTTTTTTTATTTGTCTGTATTATCTTATCTTTATCTATTTTCAGATATGTTGTGTAAAAATATTTAGTAATTGTAAAATTATTATAATAAGTTAAAGAAATATCAAAACTGCTAAACCTTTGGCGACCCCCTGCTGACCCTAAACGCTGCCCTTTCAGACGGTTGTCCCATATACACATTCCCTAAGAACGTCTCTTACAGCCGGGCGTCCCATTCACGCATCACTAGAGATTGCATTCGGAGGACGGGTGATGCGCATTTTAAGCTGAAACATTTTTCTGAAGGCCTAGATAGTATATTTTGATATATGTCCATTACTTTTGAAATGAACACAGTTTTAGGTTCCTGACCTTGCGTTTGATATATTCTGTCTGACTTTGGTATTTTACTCATCAACTATAGCGGGGGAGAGGGAAAGTGTAAACAGAGGTGGTCTCTTTAAATCGCCGCGTGCTAATGTAAATATTCGCGTGTCTGATTTATATCCAATTCCTTTTTTATTCTATTTTTTTTCCAACTATATACTGTCTTTTAGGGTAATATGTGGAGCTCTGTTACGTTTTGCATTGCCTTCAGATATATTTTCGTTTCTTCTATTTACACTGGAGCCTCCCTTCCAGTCTATTATGGCGAGAAGGCGCTATTTATCAGAGGAAGAATACCCTCGTATGGTTTATGAACCATTTAACTAACGCGGATGAGAGTGATGATTCTTTTTCTAAAGAGTTAGAAAGTGATACTTTTTCTAAGAGTTAGAAAGTGGTACTTCTCCGTGCTTCGAGATTTACCACATTCAGTCTTCATTTTAAATTTTGTTACTTCTTACTGTAAATAGTCTTTATTGTCTTGTTTTATTAATTTTAAACTTTATTGATTCATTTTATCAATTAAAAATTTGGAATAATTTGAATAGCGCTTCCGTCAAATTATTTTACAAGATAAGGAAATGTTTAAGTATATTTTCATGTAAAGTAAAGAAAAAAACACGTGAATAACTGTCCGTTATTCCTGTTATACATGGGGAAAACAACGAAAAGCAACCGCGCAACCAGCCTTTTCACGTCAGATCGAACCCACCTCGAACTATCGGTATTCAGCGATTTTAATCACTCGTCTTCTAGTGCATAATATATATGATGATCCAGAAAAAAACTACTTCACAATATGTAATTTAAAAAATATTGCAGACATTTCTTCAGTTTCTGTTAATGCATAACACTGGATATAGCGGAACCGTTGGAGCTGAGAACTATAATACATTCTTCTACTACCAATTCACTATATAAAATATTATTAAGCACCCACTGCGCCTTGGTGAGCCTAAAATGCAGTTTCAGGTAAGCCGGGTATTCGTCTAAGATAGTGCTCCGCAACCGGTGTGCCGCGGCACACTGGTGTGCCATGAGTAGGATATAGGAGTGCCACAATCAAATACATGTATTTGGCATTTTGCAATTTTTTATCATGTATTTAATACACAATGACAATTTTTTCTTTAATAATGTCTATTTTAAATGTTTTTATATATTTCACTGTTGTGTGGTTGTGTGTGTGGTTGTAAGTGTGTCAGCATTTGAATTTTTTCGGCACTTCCTTGATAACTCGGAACTCTTTGGTGTGCCACGAAATTCCAGAAAGATTTTTTGTGCGTCGCAGGTGAGAAAAGGTTTCAGAACAATGGTCTAAGATAACTATGTACAGTCATTAGTTTTGTGAAAGCAAGTCACATGATAAATGTCCAGTGTTATGGCCGAGATTCTAACTCTGGACTCCCGATTGTTAACCAACGTGCTTCCAGTCACTCCACGAAGACATGTAATAAGGGAGAGGAGAATCCCTTAGATTACTTAAAGGATTACTCCACTTAAAGAGTGACTGGGGAGGTGACAACCCAATCACCAAACCCTGTGGTGAAGAGTTATCATCCGTCACATTTTAGTTCAGACCTTACCTTACTGTAGATTCATTAGGTTTGCCGAAACAAGAAACACGAAAAATGTGCAACGGCCTCGCTTAGATTCAAACTCCGGACAATCCGGAATTGTTTCCAGTTACACCTCGAAGACATGCGGAATATGAAAATAGAGAAAATACCTTACAACTAAGCTGAGTTTATACGCGTATTCGATCATAGCTAGTATTTAATTTAGTTTATTAATTCTGCCAGCAACATATGTTTTGTTTACTTCAGATACTTTGCTTAAAATTCTAAAACGAGAGTCTGTGGATTTAGAAAGCATGTGGATAGAACAAAACTGAAAAAAAAATTATTAAGAAACTATTTTGCATAAATTAGTTCTAAAAGCACTTTATAGAATACAATAGAACTCTACGCATATTGACTCCAAATATCCGGAAATCTGACCAGCAGAAACGCTTTTGTTTTTCTTTGTAGTCTATTCGAAAGATCTCCTGAAAGACACCCTTTCCTAAAATAGATTGTTCTCATATGCTTTCCTGTAAACAGTTAACTTAAATTGATTTAATTTCCCTAGTTGTTGGTAGAACCAAATAAGACCTACCAATGTTAAACACAATTATCTTTTTTATTTTTTATATAATTATTTTTTTCTTTTTGTAGATTATAATTGAATTCTTGGAAATTTAATATGGAACCATATAGTACAAAACAACGCTTTAAAATTATAGAGTTTTTCTATTCTTGTCAACAGTCAATTGTTATGACCCAGCGTAATTATCAGCAATATTTTAATTCAAGTGTACTGTTTGGTGCGGTGTTATGGCCAATAGAGTTATCGGCCCATATTTCTTCGATAATAAGGATAGAACGCCGGAAATGATTTCCGGAGCTTCTTACAGAACAATGATTGGAAACATTTTACGGTCAATGGCGAAGCAGAATCTTTTTTATGAGGATATTTAGAAGACAAAGTGTATGTTAATAACCCAGAGACTATTAGACAGCTGAAGCAGAATATTTGAGACAAAATACCGAGCCTTCAAACAGAAACATGTAATGGAAAAAGCGTTAAAAAGAGCCAATCTCTGTAACGAGAAAAATGATGGACATTTGTCTGATGTCATATTTCATAAATAATCTCCATAAAATATATTTAATACATAAAAACAATTAATCAAAATAAATGATTATTACAAGAGTTATCCGTGTTTAACATTAGTAAGTCTTATTTGGCCCACACTGTAGTTTAATATTTTCTTTGATTCAAATAATGTAAAAAAGATATATACTCGTTCAGCAGTAAAGGACATAGTTTTTCGAATACGTTTTTAAATTGATTTAGTTAAACAAAGCAAACGGCATATTTTGCCTCTTTTCTTCCCCTTGAAATTATTGTTACAGGTTTCATGAGCAAATAACAGGGTTTTGTTTAACAGGGAAAAGATATGATATATTTCTGTAATTTTACAGGTGCGCTTAAATTTAGAATCTATGGCTGAATTTTACGACATAATTAAGAACGAAATTATTCATTAATATTAAAATTATTCGTTAATATTAAAATATTGCAATTATTCGTTAACTATTTTATTTGAAACAATAACTGCGATAATAATAATATTAAACAATAATAATAAATATGTATTTTATACAAATAAAAATATTTCATTATTTAATATGAAAGGAAAAACGGTATTCTGCATTTCATTTTACCTAAACAAAAACATATCTCACCTGGCGATTCGATTCTTCTCTGGAGGGTATCGTCTTAGAAAAGCCATGGTCAGTACTGATGTTCATTTATGTGCTCAGAGGTACCAGTCACTTTCATAGGGGTCTCCCTAGGAAGATGGTCGCCATTATAGGATTAATTGTATTTGGCTTTTGTTAAAAGTCTGAATTATACAGGTTTTACGAACATCACATTGACTCTAATAAAAATCAATCCGAATACAACGAACTTTACTCCAGTAACCTCTCTTCGACAACCATCACTAAAAGTAACCAGTGGTTGTGAGAACCTAAGTAAACCTCGGCACTGAGCATGATATCTCTATAAGACCTCCACAGGAGACCAAAATCATATGAAACCTTGGATGGTTGTCTGGTTATCTTAGAGAGAAAGCTCACTACGTTTAAAGTTTTGCTATACAGTTGTTTATTTCTGATAGGATACATTTGAAATTTTTATTGAAATTAATTCATTAATATTCGCTTATAATGATTTAACTTCAATTAATTACTTAATGTTTATATTTACTTATAATCAAGTCACTGATGAATTTATTTCGAAAATACAATCCTCATAAAACAGTCATCAAATTAAACGACCTTTAAATAAATAAATAAAACCCACTAAGCTTTGAATTCTTCATTTCCGATAAATATTTAACGTTACAGACGAATACAGACTTCTAGAACTTCAGACTGAAAATCATGAATAATAAAAACATGTTATTCCCTTGAGATTAAAACGAATTTATGAGAGTAAATACAACAATGACAGTTACGACGTATGAACCTAGTTAATTAATTCCGAATTGTTTTCCTTCTCATTAGCAGAGAGCGATTAGAAAAAAAATCCCTAAATGAATGGAAAAATTCCCTATACCAATCAACTCTGTCATTCAATCAGCATCGTATTATGGAACACCTGTTAATACGTGTTACGTCACGATAATACAAACGGGGTTGCCAGAAAATGTTTTCGATTTTTGTCCATTTTTGGTTTCTCTCGTTGTCAGGTAGCTTTTCTTAGGGGTGTGCACAAACGATTTTCTTCTTCTTCATTTTTGTTTTCTTTTTTACAGATGATGTATGAATAGGTAGAAAAAGTTTCCTAGTGATAAAGTCTTAAACGTATTTAAGGTACTGTCAAATTTTATCGGTCATGAAGCAAAGCAAAAGAAAAAAGTAAGATAAGAATTTTTCTGGATGAAATATAGCCTTGCATTTTTTTGTTTTTGTTGTCTCCGAGGTGAAACGTTGTGTTTATTTGAGTGATAAAATGTCAATATGGTACAAATTATGCTCTATTGGCATTTTTAGAATGCTATTCAATACGACAGCAAGACTTTCAGGATTCTGGGTTAGTTCAAAAGTATTTTGGCATTAGAGTATTTCTCAATAAATGATGTTTAATTATCATCCATGGCTGCCAGATTATCCACGGCTGAGGTGTATAATGTATAGCATAAGCAACACAACTTCTTTATGTTAATCGAGTGACTTTTTATATAAATAATATAAATAGTATTCCTAAATTTATAATTATATATTTATAATATTTATAACTTTATAATTATATATTTGTAGGATTTATAATTTATAGCATTTATAACTTTCGTATTGCTTTTACATCACTAGATTTTTACGCTAACAGACAATCGCTGCTACAATCTGAGAGATAAAAATTATACAGAAGCTAAACAACGCTGTAAGAAGTAACTAACATATGATATAAATAAAAAATTTGATATGGATACCACATAGCTTCTTTGTGCGGAATATAAAATTGTACACTATTTTTTCCTGCATTTCATTTAAACTTATTTCCTCGAATTTCATCAGAGATATATTACTCATTTAATTAATTCACGTCTCACTTCGCGGCAAGGCAAAAAGACATAAACATTCAAAACATCTTCATTAAAAATTGTAAAATATAGAAAAACATATAACACCAAATGCGGCTAAAAACAGTTAAAAAAACAATTTTTACAATTAAAACTAGAGTTTCTACGGAAAAAACAAGCTATTCGGCCAGCGTGCAAGAAGACAGATTTTTCAATGCACAAAATGAAGAGCTTAATTATAGCCCACCTTCAAAATTTGGCGAATTTTTTTGGCGCCAAGGCACGCCAAATACCGTGTTTTGAAAAATGGTTGCTATCAAGATTTCCGACGAAACTCCGTGTTTCAAAAATGGCGACCATCTTGTTTTCACCAGAAATCATGTACGATTGTTATACATGACTTTAAACGCAAAAAAAATCAGGAATGATTAACGAAAATATTTAAGATTAAAAGGATGTAATTTTGAAAACAATGCCGAAAACCTTCAGATATTTCCCTCTTAACAAATGATTCTGTAAATAAGAAATAATTAACTGTAAATTAAGCTTACTACAGGCGAACCAAGATCTTAGCCTAATCGATTTCTCAATCCTACATTTCTTGCATCTCCAAATACTAAAATTCGATTACTTTTCCTCACTAAGTAACCCGCATGGTACCTTACATTTTTCACAACAAACTCTATCCATCAAAAATTGTCTAAAAAATTCATCTCTTTTTAATTCATACATAAAATATCTGTTTGGAATGCCCAGCTTTCCCAAATTTTTAAGTTTGTTTGAAAACCCCTACCTTAAATTCTCCTTTAAGATCTCCTGAAACTTTATTACAACATCACTAGCAGCAGGTTTAGAGCAAGCCATGACAAAATGCAAAATTCTCACTTCCAAAATATTCAAAAATCCAAAACAGTATTCTCCACGATGTCTGAGCTTTAAAAATTCGCCGATAATAGTAGTCTTATGATGAATTTTTACGAAACATTCGCCGATAATAGTGATGTTTGTCTGCATATGTATGACGGTTTCTTTTTCGAACTTGATAATTCTTATATAAAATTTCCAAAAATTTCGATTTTCTGTATTTATGCTTCTGCAATTTGAGCTGTCAAACCGGTGATGATAAGTGTGAATACTATGAGCCAGTAGTGTTGTAGAGTAACTATATATACAGGTTTAACAAGATGCAAAAATATTATACAATATACTGGATAATATGGACAACTGAAAGTTGTACTTTACACGAAATCTCTAACAGTCTTTAATAGATTGCAGGATTTATTTTGGTAATTTTACATGAATCCCATAACAGCTTTTGAAGAAAAATTACTTTAAAACAAAATTCAAAAATTTTCAGTTTAAATTTGTAAATGTGTTATATCAATGGGAAGAACACATCAAACATGACAAACGGGAAATGATACCTTACTTGAAACTCTGACCAGACTTTCACAAAGGTATATTATGAGAAAAACTAAACCTTCTCAAATATGATTTTTAAAATAGACATGAAATTGAGAACACTGCCATGTGTATAGCCGAAGACATCGTTTCGGTTAATAAATGCAGTTTTTTAGTTTCATGCGTACTTTTGTAGATTATTCTTTTAGAAACTTGGAACTGAATGATGATTAAAGATACGCTACAAGTGCAAGAAAAGTTAATTTAATATTAAAAGAAACACTTACATTACTCGAGAGTTTTTAATGCGACGAATTGACCATAAAGCTCGTCCGTTAATCTCGAAACAACAGCGACTTTTGCTGAAACTCTATTGGACTTCGTCGATCAAAGCGGATTCGAATAAAATGATAAAACAGCACTTCGAAAAATACGCAAATACGCAGTGAAATTCGATAAATGTTTGAACGTTTTCAGGAACAAAATTACTGATTTTTAAAAAACATAAACACATACAAGATTCATCAAAAATGTAATTTAGATTACCCGTGTTTTCCAATTATCCGTTATCTGTTTACTTGGCATTAGCTTAGAGAGCTTCAACCGTCTGCGTTCGTTTTACTTTTGTGTTGAATAATTTTTCAAGTAAAAGGATGTTGCCACCAAATGTTATTGCTATGTATTACTTTTAAATAAATAATACAGTAAATAGAAATAATACACCGAATATAAAAAGAAATGTATGGCAAAAATTAACGCTATATCAGGAATTCTAACTGTATGCTACATTTAAAAATTTTGGCATTCTTAAATCTTTGATTTTTGAAGGCGAAACAGTATATGACCAGAGGATATACCTTTACGATCGATACACAATGAAGATTAGAGTTTGTTTTATTTTATTATTATATAGTGTTTCATCAGTATAACTCAGGAGGTGGTGCCAGGATTAAACACCCGTTGCAAGGTCGATCATGTTATGCCAGAAGAGGGAGTTCCAAAATGAAAAAGAACAAAGGAATATCTACGTAAACTAAATATACTGGGAATTCATGTATTTAGCAGCGAACTTCCAAATCATATTTTACGCTTTTCAATCAAATCACACGTAAGCAACAAGCAAAATATAGAACTGTTCAAAATACCATAGTCAGTACTTAAAAGATTAGTAAATTCGTATGGCTGTATATATGTACTCATGTAAATCTCACCATGTACGCATATTCTATAAAATTATTTTTCAAGAAGCACTGCCAAAATTTCAACATTAATTTCGCCTTTAAATTTCTGATCGAGATAGTTTCTTGCCTGTAAGTGAATGCCTCTAGGCTTCAAACCATAGCATTGTTATATTCACAGTATCTATCATCTGTTGATTTATTTCTACATCTCTCTTCATTTTCATTCTCGGCTACATTACCTTGGAAAAATTCTTACTGTTACGTTTTTGTGCTAGTTACATTAACTAGCATTCATATGTACTTTCCGGGATATACCTTCACCATACCATAGATGCTATACCTTTCGTATCAAAGTGTGAGAAACAATGATTATATGAACACATGTAGTATGGGAGAACAAAATTAAAAAAAAAAAAAATGAAACCTTTCAGATTTTACATTACTACCAAAGGGACGTTTAAAGTTTTGCGTTTTACATTTATTTATTAAATTTTTTGCACTTAAACCATAAAATTCAATTCAACAGGAATATCGCAAAATAATTTTAAATTTAGAATTTCCGATACACAATCTCACGCGCTGAAGATAAAAATGTTTTTTCTCCGCACAGTATTGCCATTCCTCGCTTTGAAATCGTTGAGTTTGTTAAGCAAAAGTCCTTTAATGTCTGACAAAATATGAAAT